TAAAACATTTCCATTAGTCCTTATTGTACAAAATCACGAATATTACTTTTATCATTTACCTTCTTTTATTGTAAATATAAGCCAATATTTAGTTTAGGGTCGATATTATTATAATTTAATTGATAAGGAATTGATAACATTTTACTCAAATCTATTTTTAATGACTCAGTTAAGTTTACCTATTTAGTATCTTCAATTGTAATACTAATTGATCTATCTTCGAAACTAATAATAAATTTGAATATTGATTTAATCTCAATTTAAATTGATAAAAATTGAATGGCGAAGATCATTAAAGAGTTGTAATACCCTGTAAAATTAATAATCATTATATAATTTTCAAATTATTGTCCTTACGAATACGCTTATTGGAAAGGAGGAGAGAGGAAAATATATTTTAAAAATGAGAAAGTGTAGAAATGAGCAGTGTTTCTCAGGCTAACATGCGCAAATATCTGACCTCCTAACTTCTTCGATAATATTGATTAAATACCAAGGAAGTGCATGAAGTACATCATAAAAAGATCAATTAAATCAATTAAGCTCAAAAGTCATTGGTCGGTTAACCACGGTACTATATTACTTGACAAAAAAAATTTATTCGTTTTAGATACTTAATTTATGTATCAAGTACATTAATATTCTCTTTTTATTATTCTATCATAATATTGTATTTTATTTATATATTAAATAATGATAAATTTAATATACTCCTAATATTTGATGATTCAGATACGTAATTAATCTAAAACTTTATCTTTTCGTGTTATTTTATAAAACAGCCGATAAGTACAATAATATTGTCACATCTGTACACAGCCATTTAAATAAATTATAAATCATTTGCAGTCTTATTTTTTAATTAAAAAATTCATGAAATAATTATGTAATAAAAAGTTTTCTCGAAATGCATTACTTTTGGAAATTAAAATAGAATTTAAAAATAAATTTGATAATTATAAAATCTATTTTCAAACACCTAAAAATAAATATCATAAACATTATTGTCAATAAGATCATATTCTATGTTATTTTTACTTGAAGTTTATTATATACTTTTAAAAGTAATATTTTTAATTTTAATAGAGAAAGATTAATAAATAAAAATAAATATTAATATGATAATATATGTATTAGAAATAAATTCTAAATAAATAACACACTCCGGTCAATAAATTATTTTTCATACAAGGTAGTTAGTTTTAATAATTGTTTGTTGTATATATTGGCGAGAGGTAGGATACAAGTGTGTACGATGAGTAAATATATATGGATGTGCCAATATTTAAATTAAATTGTTATTTTAAAATATTTTTTAATAATGAGTAAATAAAATAATTTCTAGGATATATATTAATTGATAAATTAACACTCTAGTAATGATCGATAAACTCTTATAATGACTATATTTACTTGCAATAAATATTTATTGACAATTAAGAGTCAAAATATACGTTTTTTGCATTAAATTATGTATTTTATTTTTTTAAATATAGCAATAGAAGTGCAATTGTAAATTGATCATATTCTGGCGATTGTAAAACGAAAATCTCAAGCTGGAAGAAATTTCTTAGCCAGATACGTAGATAGTCATCTTCCATTTCTGCCCCTTAGCGCCGCATTTTAGTGTTTTTAATTTCTTCGTAGGATATTGCTTTGATCTACTTGAATTTTTATTAAATTTCCTTCATATTTAAAGTTCTTTAAAAATATGCATTAATTTTTCGAGTAACACTTTTTTTTACTTAATATAGTCTATATGTCGACGATTAAATCAAATTCACTTTTTATACTTAATGATGTTTAGTTAATTAGAAATCGATATGGATCAAGTTACATTGTATTACAATTATTGTAAGTATAAATTATAAAAAAATTTCAGTACTTAATTTATATTTTCAATAATAGAATAGATTTTATTTCAAATTAATTTTTCTTTTAGCTTTTCGTCTAAAACAATACTAATTATCTAAACGAATAATATTTGCAATAATTGAAAATATATTTAAAGTATTTTAACTGCTGTATTAAGTATAAATATCAACGTTTAATTTTATAATTATTTAAAATGCTAATTTAAACAGTTATAAATGCTTATTCATAAGTGTTCTACATCGTGTCAAAATTTCTAAAAATTGATGGATTTATTACATTAAAGGTAATATCTATTTATTTTAGCGTCGTTAGATGTATAAGTGTATATGGATTTCATACTTTTTTATTAATAATTTTATTGAATAAGAGAAGTATAAATTACAACTTTTCAAATATAAATTAGTCTAAATTAGTTCACAAATTTAGAATTAAATAAGAAGTTTACATATCTATATATATTATAAAAAATCTATTATATTTATAAAAAAAATAAATTTAGAAAAATATAACAACCACCGAGAAGAGTATTTATACACTAAATAAATTTGCTAATTTCAAGAAAATTTTGAATGAAATACGAATGTCGGGATTTTTTAATGAAATTTTAGACTGATTAAAACTATTAAAAAAGAATTTAACTTACATTTCTTGTTGTTAATCACTAATATAGTATCAGAATTAGCTCAGAAGAGCGTATTATATAACCATACATATAGAGATTAATTTCTATGTACTATAGATTTTACCAACGTTACCGTTACAAACCATCAGATTTTCAAACAAACAATATTATTAATCGACATTTACCAAGTGGAGAAAACTTATAAATATATATTGATATCATAAACGATAAAAAAAGTGGTAATTTACTCATTCCTTCGTCCTCTTTTTTTATCTCTGCAGTGACCGATAAGTACATTTGCCTTCATGCACAACAGTATTATTCGAATAAATAGCCCATGTACCAGTAATTTAAATCATGATAGTTTCCGGGACCGACCAATATCATTTGAACAACACATCTGGAGGGGGGGGGCGGTTAACAACGACATTGGTTTCTGTCCAGATTACTTACGAGCGAACAACTGTCACCGTTATGTTATGCCTTGCGCGTTTCTCGATACTGAGTTTGTAACTGTCCTGATTATGCGCGATTAATTATCTTGTGACAGCCACTAATCATAACATATATACGAAGTTTCAATTCTGAAATCAATGCTGATAAGAATTTAATAGTTCCATTATAATTATTTGACTAAATAATGTTAAATTTCCTATTGAGTGTATAACAATATTATACCATGTACAATTTTAAAATAAGAATTAAACGAAAAAATTACTTTAATTATTGCTTTTGATATTGAAGTAATCATTAAAATAATAAGTTATATGAACTTTATTCATTTCATTAATTTGAGCAATTTACAGTTTAATTAATGAATTTCATAAAGAACGTTTTAATACACATGTCATTATTACTAAATTATTAAATTATTAAATATAAGTATTTATAATATTATATTAACAAATATTAATAACATATTATAGATTAATATACAAATTTGAATCTAGCATCGAAAGAATTACAAAACTGTGTTAATTTTGAACGAACGATTTCATTCTTTATATATATACATTGCCGATGTAATCGAGAAATATTTTATTTAAAATTTGTTCACATGTAACATCAAATTCTGTATATCTTTATATGTTGCTATGGGAAAGCGTTTGAAAGTCGGTGCTTGAAATAAAATCCAAAAAAGGATACTAATAAAAAATTATCCGAATAGTAAAAAAAATGTATCAATTTGATAATATCTAACAAGCGATGGATTATTCCTGATCTCAATGACTTCCATATCATTTTAGTTTTATTGTATGAAGCTAATAATACATCACTCATCTTTCGAATGCTTTTGTAGTCATTGTTGGAAAAATGAATTATTCGAATTATTAGATGAAAATAATAGTCAGTTATCGATAAATATGAAAAATCAATTTATCTTTCATAGCTGAAAGCAGTGCTCGTTAAAATAAAAAATGACGATGCATCGTTTAAGAACGTTATACAGCCAGATGGCAGATATGGTGGTGTTTGCTGATGTGGCGTGTGAATAAGAGAGAGAGGGAAAAGGAAACAAGACGAACGTATTATAACCGTTTTTTCAAGTGAAGCCGTATCTCTTGCACAATTTGTGACCGCGCCATCTGCCGGATGTATTGTAGCCGTTGATGCAGCAGTAATATTATGACGATAGATTGTTGAGTTATATATATTGTGGTTAGATGGCGCCGTAACATCTATTTGTCGTTCCATCATATCGGATATATTAACTCATTTTTCTTTGTAACTTTGTACATATTTAACAAATTTCACGAGTTCGTTTAATGAATTACAATATAGAAAAATATATTTAAAAAGATTTATTGAATTTTTAGTATTGGATATCTTTAGTGGTTTGTTTATTTTTAATTGGACTGCTGATAATTATTCATTGTATATTTAGTTTATTAGCAGTTTTCTTTAATGTTTTAATTATTTTCATTTTAATTTCGTAGAATAATATATTTACTTATTTCTCTTATCAATATTTCTCAGCGTATTACGAATAAGATAAGCGTACAATTTTAATATATATCTTGGGCCATACAACTTTAAATTGAATCTACCATATTCTTATGAATATTATGAATATTATTTAAAAAAATAATATTTCGAGAGAATATTTAAAAAAACATTTGATGCGTAACAATATGCTTTAGCTTCTATAATTTATTTCAAATTTTGCATTGAACAATACATTTAAATAATATATATCTGCAAGATATATTGATAAATTACTATTGTATTTATATTATATACAGGCAATGAAATGTTGCGCTATTTATGCAAGTTTAATTAATTTATTAATTAATTAGAATTTTGAGCTTTTTTCTGAATCTGTGTTATAATAATTTATTTATTTTATCTAAATTAAACCCAAATATATGGCATGCGTTATTTGCGAACTTGTATTTGATTTAAAATTTTAACAATATTAATATTACTTAGACATTTGACGAAAATAGATTTTCGAATATATTTTCTAGCTATTATGAATGCCGATATAAATATATGTATTATAATGTTAAAATATATTGATGGAAGATTTAGGGTAAATGAATAATATCTCGTAGGAGAAACAAATACAACATACATCTACTTTTATTTCCAACTTATTGTTAAAATAATAGAATAATAATATAATATTTTCATGATTTAGGTATTTATAAGCATACCTAGATATCACATAATTCAGAGAAAATATTATCTTGTATGATTAATAAATTTATTGTTGAGTTAAATCAGTGCTGGAACGACGATTAATTCACAATCTAAAATCAATGTAAACGTTATGCAAGACGTATGTAAAGAAGAAATTGTAATCTATGACTGGTAGTTAATTGATAATTTGAGAAAATATAAAATGTTTTATCAAAAGTTGTTAAATTACACTTAAAATGGTGGAGAATTAGGAAAACATAAGTTCATATAATTAATAAAAATTAAATTTTATGTTGTAATAGTTTTTACATATTGGTAAATTTTTTCGCGACATTTATAAATAACACATTTTATTTACATAAATATTTATAATTTATTATTATTAAATTAATAATGATGGATTAACTTTACCGTGCATCATTTGTATAAATTTATCCCAAAACTTTACCGTAAATCAATATATTAATTAAATATATTTCAATGCATTTAATGAATATACGTAGCAATTGTATATAAGGTAAACCAAATTGCATAGTAAATATAGTACTATAGTTCAATTACTTTATTGAGTGAATTTTTTTGTTAAGAAGTAGTTGTTTGATAATTTTATAATTTTTTTTCGAATTCGTGAAAATTGTAATTTTACTCCATTAATCGTTTTGTTTACGAATTATATAATTTATAATTATATAATTTATTAATTTATATAATTTATATAATTATATCATTGTAATTATATAATTTATAAATTATATAATGTATATTTTAAATGGTCATTTTAATCCATTTTCAATTCTAATTAAAAATATAATTTGTCGTGTTCTAAATTTTACATTAATTTTAATTAACAAATTTTACCTAATTGGTAAATAGTATATGCTTATTCAATTTTTAATGCTAGTTATGTAACTATCTAGTAGTAATTATCGTTGTTATATATAGTGTGCAGATTTTGTGAAAGCTGGAGCTGAACAAAGTCTTACACCATCAGATGTTGTTTCGGTGGCGGATATCACATTTTCCTGCGTTGCAGATCCGCAAGCTGCTAAAGAGGTAAGTCATATGTTTTATTCTTATTGAAAATATAAAAGATGTTTATGGAGTTAATAAAATGATGCACTATTTATCAGATATTAATGCAGATAATCAATAATAATCAAATGGATGTAACAGTAATCGAAGCGCAACTTTTAATTTCATTAAAAAATGACAATATATGCCGATTTTTCTTTTTTCATAAATTATTTTCTTAAAAAGCTGCCTTTTCTTATAAATTTGTTTAGTTTTTAATTTATATATTTTAATTCCTTACTTTGTGATTCTGTACTGTATATTTTCTTATTTATGGTATAAAGAACTTACAAAAATATTGAAAACTTAACTGAAAATGAGCTGATATATCAAGTGATTCATAGTAGAATAAAAAAATAATACTATATTTATACAAAATAAATTATTTTGACTTTATAAGATTTCAAGCTATCAATTTAACAAAAAAATTTTCAGTTATTGGAAAATATTACATAATTCAATTAGTAATGCCGAAATAAATACCTTGATAAATCTAATTTATTTTCAGAAAACAATCTAATGCATATAGATTATTTAAAATATTTAGTTAGCTCTAATTGATCAATTTATTTATTACTTAGGCTATGATTTTGCCTAATTGATATTTCATCTTAATTAATAAAGCATTGTGATAAAAACGCTTTACTAAATGAAAGTGCATCATTAGTGCTTTACTATAAAAATTTGTATACAATAACATCATATCTATTAATACATAGATGGTGTTCGGTAATTGCGGTGTTCTCACCGAAATCTCTACTGATAAAGGCTATGTAGAGATGACGGGCATAGACGCAGAAACCTCCCAGGATATTGCAGAAGCCATTACTGCGAAGGGAGCGCGGTACCTAGAGGCTCAAGTACAGGGTAGTAAGGTTCAAGCAGAAGAAGGTACCTTGGTAATTCTGGCGGCAGGTGATCGCCAATTATTCGATGATTGTAGTAGCTGCTTTGGCGCGATGGGCAAAAACACGTTTTATCTTGGCGAAGTCGGCAACGCTTCAAAGATGAACCTTGTACTCCAGCTCATGGCGGGGGTGACGCTGGCCGGTCTCGCCGAGAGCATGGCCTTAGCCGATAGGGCGGGGCTGCAGCAGAAGGATGTACTCGAGATACTTGAACTTACCTCCCTTGCCTGTCCTGCAATACTTGACAAGGGCAAAGGTACTTTTTACATTTCAAGCTCTTTAGCTTTCATGCGTTGCACTGATACAGCTTTGAGAATGATAGTAAAATTACATGAGAATTATTGAATATTTTACTTAATATTCAGTGTAAAATATTATTGACTATAGGTACATGGCTGTAGGTACATATATATTATATATCTCACAAGAGTTTTGTATTCAGATTTTTAATCGTTAGAAGGTGTATCGATTATATTTGTATCATATTACAATTTCTATCCTCTAGTATTCAATTTTATTCTATCAATCATCAAATTTCTTTTAATTTAAAACCGACTACGTACGAAATATATATGCAATTTAATAAATTGTAATTTATCATTTAGATTAGTAAATTCAGAATAACATGTAATTCTTTATAATGCATAGCTTATAGTTTACCTACCTTAAATTTAACAGCTGCTTAAATTTAATTTATATTTTAGTTTCAGTTAATGTATATACCAATTATCTTAAATATTTAAATAAATTTTGAGTTTGACTATTGTAAGATTAAATGATAAAATAAATATACAAGTAATTGGTACACTATTAAAATATGCTTTTCATAATTTAATATAAAATTTTTTTTAACTAAATGTTCCTTAATTATTTGAAAATTTTCAATAGCAAATAGAATATTCCATGCAATTGAATGATTAAAAAGATTTTCAAACTTATAAGTATTTAAAAATTCTAAATTCCAATTTATATGATATTTAAAATATTTTTTTTATTAGTAACGTTGCGGTAATAAATTGTTGAAATGTTTTTAATAGTTATCTAATTAATGAAAGTGTTTTGTTATTTTATTTTCTATTTATTTATTTTTTTATTTTATTTTATAACTATTTATTTTATTATTTTATATTATATTTATTAATTTTTTTATTTTATTTTATAACTATTTATTTTATTATTTTATTTTATAATTATTTATTTTATTATTTTATTTTATAAGTATTTATTTCATTATTTTATTTCACACATTTATTTCATTGTTTTATTTCACACATTTATTTTATTATTTTATTTAAAAAATAATTTTAATAATTTAAAATTTAAAAATATCAAATATAATAAAGATGCTAATATTTATAGTTATTAAAATTTTATATTAAAAGCCAATGCAAGGGTCATTTACATAAAACTATTTTATATTATTTCATGTTACTGTTCAAACGTCCTAGTTTGATCTTTATAATTGACAGCTAAATGTCACTACTGTATAATTCTCAAAATTAAATATCACGAGTCTAGAAATATTTATATTTTTTTATATGTAATAAATATAGTTTCTGTTAATCTGTATAACAGTAGTATAAATTGCTGTAGCACATTTCTAATTTAAAGATATTTGTATTTTGAAGATTTTATTAAATAATGATAGGTTATATTAAATTCACTATTACTCTATTAATTACTTCGGTCTTAATAAATCTAGGATATTTCTTCATAAAAAACTATGTTTTTGATTATCATACTATTATTATGCTTGATTTCTCCATTCTGTTTAAAATCATTGTTTCTTGTTTTATTAAAATATTGCAATTTCAACTTATTTAAACTTCTTAAGAATATTTTCAATAGAAGCTGAGGCAACAAAGATGGCAACAAACCACGATGAATCATTTGACTGGATAAAGAAAACTATTTAGTTTATGTACTTTAAGTGATAAATTTCTATTTATCTAAGATATATGTTTCACAATATAAAACCATTTTGATTCAGTACTTTGACTTATTTAACATATTGATTGTTTGCTGTTTTCATGAACACACCATTAATAATTTTCTGAGACATCGTGAATGAAAAATATTTTCAAATTTATAAATATTGTCAGATTGTTGTTCTCTTATTCTGTTTCAATTTTTTTTATTAAATATAACTTAAAATTTGCAATGTCAAATAAGATAATATATCCTGTAGCCATATACATATCCTTTCATATTTTTCTAGCCATTTACTAATTTATTTATCAAAACTAATTTAATAATTACTTTGTACATTTCATTGTTATTAATGAAACGATCTTATAGAATTTACACCCTTTTTCCAGTAGTGGTCTTTAATTTATTAATAAAATAGCTTGTATATTATATATAATATGAAAATTAATAAATTTTAACATTAAATATATAAATTGTCATGTTTATCACGATAATTATGTACTGCAATACCATATTATTTGAATTTGTTCGATTTGCATGAAAAGATGTTGGTATTATCTAGTTTTATAAATAAGCTTTAAACTACTCAGTGTTAAAGTAATAGTGTTGTAAATACTGTAAATATTTTATAGGCATTTATTGGAGGAATTTTTGTTGCTTTATTTTTTTTTTAAATAATGACTGAAACTTTATAAGCCTTTATTCTTATTAGCCATTATATAATCAGTTTTAATTTATAGTCCACAACAAAAATATTAGAAAATTAGTATTCAAAAAAATTCAGAGTCCTGAATTATATCACATATTTTGCAAAAAGATTTACTTCGGTAAAGTTGAATTTCTCATGTCATATAATATGATCCACATAAAAATTTTACTTAAATTTATCCATGTTAATTTCATTACTAATTATTAATTTTCTTTTGTTTTATACTTTTTGTAATTTTTCCTTGAATTAAGCTTAATATTTATAGTAAGATTTATTCGATTTCTATGAGATCGAATACTAGTTGTAAAGGTAAATATTCATACTATGAAAGTTGGAAATATTCTGTTAAAGTTTACAAACAGTGCAACGTAGAGTTTCAGAATTTAGCGCAGCAGGTATTATATCCGTCTTCAAATGTAGAAAAAAAGAAAATTGTTGTTTTATTTATTATGCAGCAGTATTCGTCTTATTTAAAAAATGTTATTATGTGAATGGAAATACTTTATATTTGTCCGTAATACAGCTCTAAAAAAATTAATTAATTTAGAATTATTAAAACGTTCGTTTATATATAATAACATATGTATTCTAAAACAAACTGTACACAAATTTAATTTTGGTTATTAATGTTGTAAACATATAAATAAATTTTCATTAATATACAAAAGTATATTATAATTTTTAAAGTATTACATATTTTATATCAGCCTATTTAAAGTTGCTGTGATAAAATAAATATTACATATTTACAACACATGTATGATACACGAAACTAACATTACTAGAGCTTGTCTACATGTAATATTTAAAAATTTATATTTAAATGTTTGTTTATATTTCACATAAATAACATATATAACATAAATTGTAGAGCTATAAAATGTAAATATTGAATACGCACAAACTTTATATTTGTACAATAAAATGAGTATTATTGGTTAAAATAAATGTGTACATTTTATATATTATGCATAATCATTATGCATAATTCAACAATGAGGCATTGTTAAAAACATAATTTTTTAAATCACTAATCTCATCTATCATTACAGCCATAATCGAAGGCGGATTCACTACGCAACTGCCTCTTCAACACATGCAAAAGGATCTAAGACTGTCACTGAGTATGAGTGATCAGCTCGAGCAGCCGATCCCTCTTGCAGCTGCAGCTAACGAAATTTACAAGCACGCAAAACGCCTAGGCTATGGGGAGCACGACGCATCTGCTGTCTACATTCGTGCGAGGTTCTAAAAACTGAACTAAGATCGCGCGCCCAAGAATCCCAATCCACAATCCTCAGTGGCGCCGACATCTAATTATCATATTTATTGATGACATAAATACAACTGCAATACTACCTAAGCGAAATGTCGTCTCTACATCCACCTGCATGAGTATCTTGGGTGGATTCGAGAGCGAAAAATTAATAGACAAGCGCCTAGGAAATGCGTAGCCAATCCTCTTTGTTTGCCCAGCCAACAAAGTTATGAAAATTATACTTACACTTATATTTCCATCGATGACCTATTTGAAAACGTATTATTTACAATATTAATAAACTTATGAATCTTCGTTGTTTCGTATATTAATATAAATATACAAATGAAAAAAGATACCAAGAAAGACAGTATAGTTTCTTTTATACTGGACATGCGGTATTAAATTGACGAAATTAAAGTTGACAAAGAATTTTAAGAAGTGTAATTATAGATTTTCATACTCGACTATCTAAAATAAATTAAAGGATTCACTATAAATTTTTGAAAAGCTTCTATTAAATTATCTCGTGTAGTTGCAATTTAATTTTTAAAGTTTTCCATAAGGATATAAAAAGGTTTGAGGAAGATAAAGAGTGTATTTCAAACAAAAAGTAAAAGAAAACAGTGAAAAAAAAGTGAACGAGCAAGAGCGAGTAGAAATATGTATTTTTATTGCCCTGCTATGTATGAGTGAATAATTATATGAATGAATTTGCGTTTTATTTGAGTACTTCCAAATGACACACGACGATTATATATTTGCGCATGATTTATTTCTTCCTAAACATTTATTATCAATAATTTCTCTTTTTACATTTATTAAAAAATTTCATTACATAATTATTGTTAGCGACTCTGACGACGGATGGGATTATTTCGTTAATTTAGAAAAACAAATAATCGTGCATTGTATTCCTCTACATATTAATAATATCCATGATATAGCGCATTCGATATATCACGACGACGTATTATTTGTAATTTTATATATTTTCTGAGTGAAGATGTATACAGCTACTTGTACTAATTCATTCATCCAACCTTCTTTAATACTTTTTATGAATCTTCAAATGGGTGGGTTCATATTCTTCATTTTTTACATTTGTTTATTTTGCGCGTATACAAATGTTGTGCATAATGGTTTTCGTAATATTTACATAAAAGTGACTCGTTGGTATTAAAGAAACGTAATTTTTTTATTAAAGAAAAGAAAACAATTTGTATCAATATTATAAAAAGTTAATAGTTTTAGTGCCTTATAACAAATTTACAAATTAATTACGTTTTTTTTTTGAGTAAAATTTGGTTATTTTTTTAATTTACACATTTAAAATATTTGTAATAAAATAAAGAAGACATATGATAATCAATTTCACGAATTATATTATACGGTATAAGTAGTGCATTTATATTTAAATTTTCGTTGTGTAATTTAAAACTAAGAATCAAATAAAGAAAATAGATCCAACGAGTCGAAAAAACCACAAAATATGATGAAATATTAATTGAATACACAAGTAGTGAGTGAATTACCATATTGTTTGTTAACCACTTATGTAACAATGAAATACAAATGCTATGGACCAGCGCCAGTTTGTGTAATTTAATATTAATTTACAAACAATTTTTATAAATTTAACGAATTTACAAAATTTTTATATATATTTTCGTTTATTCCTTCAAAATGAAAAAAAAGAACGGTAATTTAAATTACACAGTTTAATTAAAATATTATATGTTCATTATGTATTGTGTGATATTATATTAAAAAATTAAGAATAAAAAAATTACATTGTGTATAAATATCAGGCAATTCTGGTGATGGTTCTTAAAGGATAGTATGAATTCATCAAACCTGCTATGAAATTATGCAAAAGGCAGTAAAAGTACAATTGTACATGAAAATATAGATGATAAGAATTGCGATATAGAATATCTTAATGCATTGAGAGAAAATTAATTTACAGCTTGAGAGTGATGAAAAGTGGATCTCGAAGTTGAGATATGCTCAGGCGGGGTTGAAATTTAATATTAATAGAGAATGTAAAAGATGTGTAATATTAAAATGATATATGTATATGAAAAATGCGTTTGTTCTAAGAAAAATAAAATAATTAACGAGATTATGCAAAGCTAAAAATATTAAGTACAATCTGGCGTAAGAGGCATCAAAAGACTTGCTTCTAAAACATATTCATTTTTGTTGATTTTGTATAGAAGCAAGAAATGTTAGCATAGATTAATATAAATATACACATGATTAAATTTACGTATATAAATGTTTCAATGTCTCTGTTTTTATATAAGTAATACAATAATTTATTTTTAATGAATTTAATTATCTACACAAATTAATTTATATTCATTTTTATATAAAAAAATGGTATTGTTTTATGAGCAAGTACTTTAATTGTAAAAACAGTAAATATCGAGACAAAAACAAAGCGCGGAAATGTAAGGTGAAAAATATACAAAGAATTAAAGTTCAAGTATATAGTTATATATACATACCTATAAAAGATAATTTGAGAATAAACGAGGGAGAGGATAAGACAGATTATAAAAAGAATAAGTGTGTTGAGGATGAGAGCATAATGCATAATTGCATCTGGGTTTTGCGGCGCACCGCGTAATATGTTTTTGTCAGAAGATGCATTGGTTTTATTGAATAAATATATCTATTTGATTTATTTTAAAAATAATTTTTATAAAATGTAATGCGAGAAATATATGTAGTTTAAGTATACGAAATGATTTCAAACATAGGATTTTCTTGTATTTACTATACAGACAGAACTTTCGAATAGCATTTATCAATGAAAAATACATTATCATTTTATTTCAAGTTTCCTAGAATATTAAATGACATTTCGGATTTTACATTTGGATGTTACAATAAAGTGTTAAAATACTTTTATTTGTATTGTATTATAAGAGTACCTGAAATACTGCCTCTATCTTCTAAGCTTTAACAAAAAAAAAATGATCACACTAAAAGTAAATAAACTGATTCGAAACCTAAAATCTAAATTATTTCAAGGAAAATATTTATTATTTTTGAAATTTTATTTATTAAATAGTAGATATAAATATTATATATATCTTTTATTAATCTAAAAAATAAAATCAAATATTTTTTTAAAATATTGGAATGAAAATTTTCTACTTCAACAAATTTAGTTTTTTTTTAGTTTCATTTTTCTGTTTATATAATTTAGCGACAAATATTTAGTTGGTGTATCAAGTTTTCAATATTAATTAGTAAAAGTATTTCTTGATTTAAATATTAATTTAATAGTCATAGTTTTGTGAGCAATTAAAAAACTGTATAGTAGATAACGTTGATACACGTGAATTTAGCTAATTGCAATAACCTAAAATTATTTTAATTTTAATAAAACAATAGTTTGGTTATTAATGGATTTTTATATTTATTTCATGAGGTAAAAGTAAATTCTAATTAATGTACATTTTAATATACTATTTTGTAATTCTATAAGAAATTTACTAATTAAATTATACATAAAATATGCAATAAAATAAATAGTGTAATTAAATAATGGAATTAAAAGTCATCAAGCATGAATTATATACAATCTATCCTTTTTATTACACTCATTTGTTTAATTTCTAAATGAAATTAATATTTAAAGGTATTAGGTAAAAGATATATCATAAAGAAATAATATAAAATGTTTTTTTAAATTTAATTCTTTTATTATATTGTAAGAATTATATAATTGTTTGTATGGAAATTTAATAATATAATAAATTAATATAACAATTAAATATTAAAAACTGTCAATTGTACGTTTTATAAATCAAAATATATATTAGAAACAGGACAGAAAAGTTTTTGAATAAAGACATTTAATTATTTGGCCCTGTAAATTAAAGATTTAAATTAATTAAAAGTATTTTTTTATTATAAATTTTTTTAAATTTTTTATTTCATACAGAAGAAATATGAACTATAAAATATTATACGAAGAAAATATTTGTATTCAGATATTTTCATAAAATTTAAGAAAACTTAACTATGCAGTAACAAAAAGCAAAATAGATAAAATGAAATTTAATTCCTTTACTGGGTTTGAGACTCCGAAAGACAGTGCAAAGTTTCAGAATTCATTCACTGCCGAAAGCTTTATTTTGAAAAGTATGTTCGCTCATTGGTATACAGTGACTAAAGAAATGAATTGTGAATTTAAATATCAATTTTGTATTTAATTATTTCCTGCCCTTTTATACTTTCACGTTTCAGTTAGAAATTAAATAAATTAAGTTACCATGATGTTAACACTTAAAAAAAAAAAAGATTGAAAAAGAAGAAAGAGCAATAGAAAAGAATAAAAATGTGGTACAAACATATAAAAGATAAAGATAAAGGATCCAGAAGAAAGCGAAGTTGAGGACAAAATACTACAATAATAAATAGGGTAAGATTAAATTAATAAATAAGAAAATGATTACAAGATTAAGAAATAAACAATAATTATATTGAAATAGTAAAAATGCAGTATGATATAGTATGATTGAATTTGAAAAAATATAAACAAGTTTTATTGCAAAATTAAAAAAAATATATAAAAATAATAGTACATGCATCTATATGAATATTTAAACTTTAAAACATTATATAAAGATATATAAATGGGCATTTATTGGTGTCATATCGAAGGGGTAAGATGCTGATATGATTTTAAACTACAACGATGTGGGTTACCACATCATGATAATTAATACTGTGTTTTATAAACTTGATAGCTAATAATTATTAAGACATTATCTTTCCACATGCACTTCGCAGAATGTTTTTCGGATCGATTTTTATAAGAACTGTAACTCTTTCTCGCCCGTTTATTGAGCAGTTCCTTCTTAAATATCTACACAGTATTAAAAAAATAACGTAATGAAAAATATAGTATAACCAATATTTGCAATTGAATTTTTCGATGTTTAGATTATTATACGTAAATGATTTTGTAATCGATATTCAGTGTCATTTCTCTTTATCATATCTTGTAATAATTGAAATTCATTTTATAGCAATGCTTCTAGTATTATTGTTATAAATATTCTACCTAGATCAATATGACTTAAAACATTTATTAATTAGTAAGTAATTATTAAATCTAATTTACAGTAAACAGATTCTTTAATGATATGAACATTTTAGAAAGGACTATTTATCGCATAGCGTTTATTATTTTTATTTAATTATTTTATAGGGCTAATTTGGTCATCTGATTATTTATCTATTTACTAAATTATATTGGATTATTATCCTCATTTGTTTTTACTTTACAATAGTGCTACTATTAGTGAACAGTTGGATAAAACGAGTAAAGAAACTTAAAAAATAAATTTTTTATATCTATCATTCTTTCTCAATATATTAATTGTAAATTTTTTATTTTATTTATTTTTTTTATGTATTTATTTATGTGCATTTATAGATGTCGAGTAAAGCGAGGCTTTAAATATATTGTATAAATCTAAATACATGCAGTGTGTTGAATTTGTGCGTGGCAACGATACCGAATGAATTACGAGTGAACGGTAGTTTGTTGTCGCAGCGATGTAGATTTAGTATTGGAGAATAGCATTTTGCTATTTTGCTAGTGAAGCATGTGGTTCGCAGTTTAAATGCAATAGATAATAGGACATAAATAATAAGTTTATAATGTTATTTTCCATTATATTATCGTATTTGGAGGATTCCGTGAACGCGAATAACGGTTAGAAATAAGTAGCTAGAAGAATAGTCGTCAGAAAAAACATATGAGGATGTGGACAAAAACGATAGGTAAGAATAATAGATTGGTAGTTTAACTACTTATGGCAGGAAAATTTGTAAATCAACGTTAATTTTTATCTTCGATTGTCAACTTACATTGGTGCATAGTCACATGCAATATTAAATGTATTGATAAGATTGAAATGACAAATATAAAATATATGAGAATGAATTTAAGATACGCATCATTATTTAAAATGAACAAGATAAAATAATATTTTTTTTATATAATTTAACACGTTATGTACTTTCATTTTATTGTGTTAACATTATCATTATCAAGAAACTATACTTTACAAATTATTTCATTATAATTATTGAAAAAAACATAATTATTTATATAAGCCTTACAATTTAAATTTGACTTAATAAATGAGACTATTAATAAATTTGCTGTGCGTGCTTAGTAGTTCTTTTCTTATCTTCCACAATATAAAATTATTTATCAAATTTGTTTATAATGTTAAATATTAAGGCTCAATATAAGCTATATTTATAATACGATAATAAGATGTTGCAATAAATATAATAGAAAGACAGTGAAAAAAAAGAAAAGATGTCATTACCCGACGTTTTTTAACCTGTAATACGTTCGTGTTTTATTTATTTCGAATCATTATTTTTCAATTAATTACATAATAAAGTTCTTATCAATGCTAATGTAATATATTTTAATTATATTAATTATATTTAAAGCAATCATATCAGAAAATGGAATCTAATTAAATTATTGTATAATTTTTATCAAGCTTACGATAGTTAGAAATGTAAACTAAATAAAACATAATTTTTATGCTATCACCATTAAAGAGCTTATTTTTGCTTGTAACCGACTCATTAAGGGCATCTTTATTCATTACCATTATTTTGAGTATCTATATACTTTTAAATCTTTGTACATGTAAATGGTTAAATATATCAAATAATTTTGTTCTTGATTATGTATACATTTTAAGAAATAGGATAAATAATCGGTAACAGGAACGTTCAAATTTCTTTCAAATTTCAAATTTCTTCAAAACGTTTTTGTTTCATCAACCTTGATTTAGATCACATTCACCCACCCAACTTAGTCTCGTAACTACATATGCATGTCCCCTCTTTTTTTTATCTTTGTCATCCCTTCAAACTATTAAAATGATCGAAAGCTTCTGTAGTTTTTCGTAAGGTGCAATGGTGCATGGTTACCAACAATTTTTTTTATCGTGTCTGCCTCTGCTTATTACAAATCTTTCGTTCACACTGTTTTTTCAACAATTATACTCTAACGATTTTCTTTCTTGTTTAAAAGGGAGAAATCCACTATCTCGGCGCTTCTATCCAGTGAAAATGTTCATTGTAGTTTGAATTATAATAGACTTCAGTGTTGACATTTAGTAAAGAGTGTTTATATTGATTAGCTATCATTATCGATCTTTAATACATTATTATATGTAACAATAAAGTTGAAATGCTTATGTGTTCATCATACACCCATCGATCTATATTGTATGTAGAAAATTGCATGTACTATGTGCATGCGTCAACTTTGATTTGCTGGAGCGTCGATTGTAGCCACTATATATATATATAGAAATATAGAATATATTCGTGTTTGCGCGACTCACCTTTTATTACAGTATTCCTTCGCGATTGAGGTTAAATATAGAGCGAATCAGTGATTGTTTTTTGCATATTTCATAAGCAACGGCATTCTGATATTTTTCTTACTGTTTAATAAGGTGAATAACAGTCTCAGTAAAGAATCAGAATAATTATCTTCTGGTGGTGTGACGATATGTTTTATTTAAGGTGTTATTAGTGAATCCTGCTGAGAGCTTCTTAGAGGCATTCGTACAGGAATTTGAGGGCAACATCATTGAACTTACAATTTTCTCCAAACAATTTAATCATTTTATTTTTCAACGTAAAGAAGTCACGTCAAACAGATCATTTTATTATGTATTTAGATGGAATTGTTATCTTGTTGCTTAGATAGGACGTCAAAGATCCAATTATCTACATTCTTAAAGGAATAAAAGAAAATAATTAGTCAAACATAAGTGTTTGAATAGTTTTTGAAAGTTGTATTGTTCTTATTGTTCTAAAAAATAACATGATGGATACGATTGACATACATTTAAAGTTTGTCGAGTGCCTTACAAAGATTGTTGAGAATCCCAATCCTAAAGAAGTGAACGAAGCATGGAGTCATTTAGAAAATTTAGTATCTCATAATAACTACAATGTAGATTACAAACAGGTATTAAAGTCAATATTGACTGAGAAACATATCAATAATATTGATCAAATACCTAGTGTACTTCAATGGTTTTCCAAATTTATATCTCCGGAAACTACTGCTGGTACAATATCTGCCGACATAGCATATTTTTTGTCTTCTTCAGCAGAATTTTTTGAAGTAAGTTATTATAAATAAATAAATAAATGTTTAAATAAATATTTAAATAAGTATAATATTTATATTATTTGATATACCCAAAGAATTAAACAATTTTATAATTAAAATAAATATGTATTCTAAAAGTTGTATATATTAATATTTTAAATACTAAAATTTTTAAATATAGAATCTACAAAAATCAACTATTTTACTTGTATATAAATTAAACATTTATAAGTCACTGAAATTTAAAAGTTAATACGATAACGTTTTAATATCATTTAATTATTGTGGAATTATTATATAATTATATTTGTAAAAAGTTTTTTATATTACAAATTATGATCCATTATATAGTTTATTTAAATATTACTTTCATTATCATTGTTATATTACTATTTTAAGGAAAAATCATACTTGGCTGAGATTTTGGAAGTAATAAATGACAATGATTCCATATATTTAACCAAATCTGATAATAGCAAATTGTGCCAAGCTATTGTTGAAGTATTGTTTTGGATGAAACAAACAAATGATAAACAAAAGTATAATGAAGATATTATAAAGATAAAAAATTTTTTGAAGATGATATGGAACCAAAATCTTCTGATTGATTGCTTTGAAGTGATATTTAAGATTTTTTTGAAAAATAATAGAAAAAAATATCCCAGTTCAGCTTTAATTATTGTCTTTCATGTGGTTAATGAAAAATCATGGATTGGTGATGTAGATGCAGTTGTTTGTCAATTGATAGATAAAATTTCAGATAAATCTAAAATTGTTCAAATGCTTAGTTTGTTTTGTAAATGGATTAATCAGCCTCCAGATACAAATATGAAATATTTAAGCTCATGGCTAATTTTATTTATTAAAAATTTGGAAACAAATCATAATCTGCCTGGACTGACAAAAGAAATAGCAGAAATGGCTTTACCTTCCATACTTATTGAAAATTTGAATTTAGATGTATTTTATACAATTGATACAGAAAGCAATATTGTTCTATTTTTAATGAAAAGAATTGGGTCATTAGAATTACTTCATAAGATTATGCCAATAATATATAATTTACTTAGTACTCAAAAGGGCTATAGTTCATATCCAAATAATCCAAATGTGTTAACTATTATAGGTATTACAAGGTATCTTCATCTTCATCGATTTTCAGAACATCTTAAGGTTAGCTGTGATAATTGTAGTAAGGTAAATGAATTAATAAGCAATTTTAATAGTCAAAGTTATACAAATAAAATTCTTGAAGAAAGTGAAGAAATGGAAGTTTGTTATCCTAGTACAAGTAACGGTTTTGGAAGATTTAATAACGTTAAAGTTGGTCTTTTGAATCTTGGGAATACATGTTACATGAATGGTGTTTTACAAGCACTTGCAATGACTAACCAATTCTGCCACGAAGTGTTACTTTATAAAAATAAAAATGAATTAAACAGTCAAACAGTTTTAAAAAACTTGCAGAATCTCTTTGCTTTATTAAAGTATATAGATACAAATTCATTATCTCCAACTGCAATTTTATATGCATCTAGACCATCATATTTTATGCCTGGTCATCAACAAGACAGTTCAGAGTTTTTATGGTTAGTATGCAATATTTTGTTACTAAGTTTATTACTAAAGCTAACACTTAGGATTTAAAATATTAAATTTCAGTAAGCAGGAATTAAAAATTTATATTTCAAAAGTAAAAATAAATTTTGAAAGTAAATAGTTAATAAACTAAATTATCCCTATTTTTTTTTCTTTTTTTATAAGATATTTACTTTTGTATACATATTTAACAAAATGCTTTATTTTTTATTACAATTTCTAATTTTATATTAATCATTCATATTATTGTTTAGTCATCTACTGGATGTCATGTATGAGCAGGAAAAATCTTCACTTATGCAGAGCAATAGTACTGATAAAACTATTAATACAAAGTTGAAAGTTGATGATAATGAAATGGTAGATACAGAAGAACCTATTGTGGCATTAACTTCACCATTGAACAATGATGGTACATCATTAAGTATGTATAGATGGACTACAGAAGAGAATTTAAGTGAAGGTGTTTCTTTACAACGGAAAACGCAATCTTTAGCTGATTTTTCTCAAGGTTAAAAATATTTCTAAATTATAAACCATTACGGCTTATACTTTGCCTCTTTAATTTTAAAATTCTGATGAAAATCAGCTTATTTTTATTATTGTATTTGTATAATACAACGTTTTTGTGTGAATTATTTAATTTATTAAAAAAAAAAAAAAAAAAAAAAATAGAAATGAAACTGAATTTGGAAGGTTATTTAAAATTAATCAAGTTACAGTTTTTCAACCTAAATATACTTTATATTCATGTGTCAATTGTAATAAATTACTTACTCAATATTTTAATGAAAATTGAAATATACATACATTACAAATAAAATAAAATAATTATTTAGAAAATATAAGTGTTTGAGATTAAAATAATTTGTATTTAATTATCTAGTATCTTTTCTTTGATTTTTAATGTTTATTAAAAATTTATTTATATTACTTTATAATAAATATGATATAGTATATATTTTGTATTAAGATATTAAAATTATAATTGCAACTTAACAAATCACATATTGATAATTTGTATATTATCTTGTGAATGTATGTAGTTAAATTCTTAAATAATAAATGAAATTTAAAAATACAATCAATAGATTGAAAAATAAATCTCATTATTATTTATTGTTAAATTTCAATAGCATATGAATATAAAATATTTTTATTTATAGAATTCTATGAAAGATATTTGTTTGTCAGTAAGTGAATAATATATATATTTATATATTTTACCTTAATTACATTTTTTTTTTAATTTTTATTTTATTTGATTTTTTTTATTTTAACATCTGCAGATCAACATGATACATTATAAATATTCATTAAATTTATAGGCGACGAACTTGTCCAGACACAAAATGCTCTTTCAGAGTCTCATTCGAATTCGACTGATAGTGGTATTCAATCTGTTGGTGGTGAGGACTCTACTTCATCTTCAATTTCTTCAGCCTCAGTACCCTTGGTAGGAATGTCATCATCATCGTACCTTGTACATCGAGTCTTTGGAGGGGAACTCAAAGTTACTTATCAGTGCATTATTTGCAATACAGAAAGTGACAATACTGATAAATTCAGAGACTTACAGCTTTGCTTCCTAGATAATTTGGCACCAAGTAAAGAAATTTCTGTACAGGATCTCATCAATATGAATTATTTCCTTCCAGAGAATTTGACAGGAGATAATAAATATAGATGTGATAAGTGTGAGAAATTGTGTGATGCTCGGCGAATTATTAAAATACTACAGGCACCAGCACATCTAATTCTAACTTTAAAACACTTTAGGTAAGCTAATCTAATCTAATAATATCATGCCATAAATAAAAATAATTTTTAACATTTATAATAATAATAATAAAACATAATGATAATTAATGATAAACAACTGTACTTAAATTTTAAATATAATAATAGCCAAAAGTATTAATATTTGAATAGTAAATTCAAATTTTTTGATATATTCAATTAGTTAATAATAATTAATAATTAACAAATAATTAATGCATAAAATTTTAATATTAAATTATTTATACTATTATTTTGATAATAGTTAATAAATACGCATAATTATTTTCTTAAAGTACTAATAAAAATGAATGTAATTATTTAAGATTCTTCTAAAATTAATATTAGAGATATTTGACCTAATTAAAAATTAAAATAAATTGAAATCGTTAAATTGATTTAATTAATTAACTGAATTTTAATAAACATGATCAAGAATATTTTCAATAAAGAACTACAATATTTGGTATTTACGAAATATCTATAATTTATTTGTAATAAACCATATAAATAAATAAAGAAATATATATAGTAGCTTTGTATTATATGCGTTAATTAAAATTTTAATGGTAATTTTAAACATTTTTTTGGTGAATTAATTTTATACGCTCACTTCTTAAGAGTACGAATTTAATACCCTTTTTTTATAAAATATAGTTTTCCATTAATACATTTTATAAAAACATTTAGTCCTATCAATTAATAATTTATTATATTCTTTTATTGAAATATACAATGAATGATTAGTATTTCATAGTATTTTATATTTTTAAGTTCGGTAAAGTTAATTTAATATATTAGTTTGTAATTGTATATTGTTTTTTTATCAGGTACGATTCAGAGAGTAGACTAAGAACAAAGTTGCGTCGTAAAGTCTTCTACAACGAAACAATTCAGTTACCAGTTCTCGAGAAATCTAAAGAGACATTTCGATTGTACGCAGCTGTAGTTCACTCTGGTTACAATATGGACTATGGACATTACATAACATATGCTTGCGACGCTAGAAACCGTTGGTATAAGTTTAATGACAGCTACGTATCCGAGAGTAGTATTGAAGAGTTTAAGAGCCTTGAACCTCCCGACACGCCTTATATCCTGTTTTATAAAAAATGTGATGATACCTTAGAGGCAGATGCACCCGAGTTTTCGGTCCTTAGTAAGAATTTACAAGATTATATTAATAAACAAAATAGGCAATGCTTAAAAGATCACAGAGCTAGCGGATCCAAAGTACGTCGACATGCTACCCCATTATATAAGCCTAATAATTTCGGTGGGAAGGATGTAAACGATGATGAAGATGATAATCCTCCACCAAGTAACTGCAGAGCAGCTCTCAATGTGCCCCAACGGCCTTGTTTGTTTTGAGAGGTGTATGATTTTGTGAGTCTCCCATCTATTGGTTCCTTTGTAAATTCAAAATTGGAATTGTGTCTAATAATATTTATGCACGGGCGAGCGGATGAAATTTAACAATGTGTTTCGTTCGGGTTTTAAAATTTTCAGTATTGTTTTGCTGTAATTGAGAGTGATATAGGAAAAATATTTAAATACATATTAAACATTTATAAATTAAGTTAAAAAATTCATTTATGCCAATATTTGCATTAAATTTCGTATGAAAATTGACAATATTTTTAGCATAGCACAAATGAATTTCGTTTAAAAAATACACTTTATGGAATATACGTTTATACAAAAATTCCGTAGCGTTACATTGACTGGCCAAATCTGTTTATTATTTTTTATTAGTTATGCGAATTACGGCCTTTAGACACCGGGTATAAGAATATACAAGTATCATATCTAGATAGTCTTTTAATATAAATAACAAGAGTAAATATGCGTATGCAGGCATATGAAATTATATTTAATTAATCCAAGCTGGTTATTTTTTATCTAAATGAATAAGAGATACGAATAATATTGATTTTATATATTTCATTTTATTTATTATCTTCATTGCAATTGTAAGAACTTGTTAAAAAAATTATGCAATAATTTATTTATTTCTTGATGAATATGTATAATTTCATAATAATTTCTTTCCTTTTTATAACAGCTGTTTTTTATTCAAATTTGAAATATATTCTAATTTTTAAAGAAAGCAATTCTTGATTTTAATTTATTTAACAAACAATATTAAATTTTATATTTTCGAAAAGCTAATTTTTCGTAAAAATTAACAATCTTAATATTATTCAATATTATGATCATTTATGAAAATTATGTAACTTTTTACATCGTAACGGGACTTTTTCAAAAAGACTCTTATGTAAACGAATATCGTAGTTAATGCATATTCTTATATGGGTTTGTGCCAATCACCTAATGTGTTGGTCGAGTTGGAACTTGTTCTATCTACTCGTAAAAGCGGTAGAATCGAGTGGAAAGTTTAAATGGAGTAAATAAATAAAGAAAGAGGTAGGTGGCCGGAGAAAATAACAAATGCAAGCATTACATTTAAGAATGATTTTAATATCAATTTAAATCGACACATTTACCATTGTCCTTACCCATCGTTTATTTTTTCTTCTTATTCCCTCACGCCTCAGCTCTCCCTTTGCCTTTTTCACATCTTTAAATTTTTCCTGTCTCCTGAATTTCTGTTTTTTGTCGATGATGTATATCAATAAATAATGGAGATTCAACTAAATTTTTTATTTGTCGTTCAATTCAGATTGACGTTGATTCATACCTTTCAGGAGTTACGTGCCTTTCCCTTGGTCACACAATTACGAAGTTGTTAGAACTCGTTACGATATTAAAAATTAAAAATAAATTTGAAATCGTATTGAAAACTTTTTTCTCATTTGGAATTTTATGGTAGGTTCTACATTTATTCAATAATAATAAGTTGATTTTAGTTACTTTTAAAAATAAAAACTAAAATCAAAAAATTGTTTTTTAATTAATGTAAATCATTTTTTTTTTTCAAAATATCTCTAGGCGAAAATAAAAGATAAGCTTAAAAGAATACCGTTCATCTGTATGAAAGAAGAATGATTATATCTTTATTATAAGTATAAAATCTCGATAATAAATGTCAAAATTCTATACTTATATAATAAATAAACTTTTATAAAAAAGGTAAAAAATGTGATTTTTATATTAATGTATACATGCATTGAAAATTTTTAATTTCATTAGAAAAAAGTAAATTCGTTCTAAAATATTTGAATCTCTGTATATTACAATAATTCGTACTTTTATTAGAATTTTTTATCAATCGGTGTTTATAATTTTAATCGTTTAAATCTATGCAAAAATTAACTTATTTGTATCAATATGTTTAAAATATATGAAATAAAATAATAGTTTATTTTTATGTTGAAGATAACAATTTGATATGTATATGATTTCTAATGAATTTAATTTTTGCATACGATCGAAAAATAGTAAATTTGTCATGCGATAATGTCATGTAAACTTTAATTTTTACAAAAAACTGTAAAAATTTTGAATAAGAAACTACATATTACAGAAAATCTAAATCTATTTTTTTTAAGAAATTTGTATTGAAATTTTATGTAGAAGTAATTGTAATTGATCTACGGTACCAGAATGTTCTTATTTTGATTGTATTTATGGTATAAATTATTTATAATTGTAAAGAATATTTTATTTTAAAGTATGTTAATTAAAGTATGTATATGCGTCATGAAATTTAATTAAAATTTGAATAAAATGAATGAATTTCATTAATTATTTACTATATTTATTGGTAAATTATGCATTTCTTAAATAATGAAACATACTTTAGTTTAAAAATATACAATTATTCAATTATATAGTTTTATTGATTCATTTTAGTCATGCGAATTGTTAACAAAATTTTTATATTTCATTTTGCAGTACGACAAATTTCTAATATAGTTAAATTATATCTTTTTTCATTGTGTAAAAAAATTAGTTCCTCAAACTAAATTTGAATTTACATTGATGAACATGTAAATAGTTGTTTTAACAAAACAAAAAAAAAATTAAGCTAAATTTAATAATAACATTTAAATAATTTTTGCATACATTGAAAATCTGTGATAAATTTATAAAAAATGACAACATTTATTTCTTTTATTACTCGTACTTCATTATTATTTTTATTCATATTGTACAATAGATGTATGTACAAATTGGTCTTTTGAAAACTATAATTCAATAGTGATTTGAAAAAAAATTATTAAAGTAAATAAATTCAAGTCTTTGTAAATAGTAATGGGATAAAAAAGACTTTTTGTTACAGGAAAAAACAATAATAACAAACATTTATTTAAATATATTGTTTTGTTTTCGAGAAATGAGATACAGTAAAAAAAATGAATGTAAATTAACAGTATTAATATTCCAGTAGTGGCTAGTATTTAAGTTTCAACTAAAATTATTTTTGTGTTGTGCTTATTAATAAGATATATTTTATTTAAATTTATCTATGCCTCATTAATGTAGTAATGAATTTGTAATAAATATGAGAAAACTAAGATTGGAGATTTTAAGTTTTAATTGAGCACTAATATTGTTTTTAGTAAATATTCATATGATTTAAAAATAAAAATAAAATTTAAATTTAATTATTTATTGTATAAAATATTTAATTTTCCTTCCAATTATATATTTTTATAATGTTTAAGTCTGAGGTGTTCCTTAGATCCCCTCGTTTTTCGTCGACTGAGTCTGTTGCGTATTTTGGTGCACGCTGTAGCCGTACTAGAGGACTTTGAATTCTTTCACCGTGTAAAAATTTAAATGTGCATATGATTTTGTATTTTACATGTTATACCTACACGTGAAATACGTATTAATTTATATTGTATATGTACGTGCACATTATACTCGCTCGTACTTGGCCTATAGTATCGGTCGTAGCGAAACTTACCACAAGTAATAATCTTATCAAGGATAATAGATAACAATATCATAAAAATTATTGGCTATATGTACAATAATTATTTTTATTGTGAGTATTCAGTTCCGAGATCATTTAAAAGAAATAGCAACGATAGAATCAATATTTATTAAGAAAAATTAAAATTAAAAAATAGATAAATATCACGAGTGAATATGATTATTTAAGGTAAATATCAGCAGTACCATTAAGTAACTATACGGAATGGATAATTGAAAATTCCATCTATTTTGTCGTACCTCATACAATACACTGGACACTAAATTACACTAAATACACTAATACACTAAATTAAAATACCATTTCATCAATCATTTTGATTTTGATCGTGGAATTCCTTAATACGTGCGTTATACAATTTAGTATAATGAAAAAGCATTGATAATTGTGGATAGAAAAGAGAAAGAATAATAGAAAAAATTTCTAATTTTGTGAAGCAGTAACGTATCTTTAAATAAAAACATGAGTGTAAACGGAGAGTTAAAAGTGGGATATAGTTTAGATTATAGACAAACGTTTCAAAGAAAACATCATTTGTCGCATATTATATTATAGGAGTATTATGTAGATTTTTTGTTTGGCAAAAATCTGATACAAACAATTAATAATTAGATAATGATTTTTTCGAATTTGTCATCAATATTATATAAAAATTAAATTATTAATCAAAGCCCAGTGTTATTAAAAAAAAAAAAAAAATAATAATCAAGGACTTGAAAGATAATGCAATTTAAGTTAAAAAGAATTCAATCATAAAAAAACGACGTAATCCAATATTTTGCTTTACATGTTCTTGACATGTTTGAGATCAAATAAAAATATGCAAAATATACGTGAAAATTATATGTATGGGATGAATATATTTACTGAAAATTCGTACGTATTCTTACAATATGCGAGTGTTCTTCCTCATTCGATCATAACACCTTTATCTGCTGCTATTACATTTTAATGCTACGAACGAGCCATAGTAAGTTGTATACGTTTGATATTCCGTATTAACTTAGTCGATTGAGTAGAATCTTCGATTTTTGTCAATTTTTGCTTTTTTGATGAAGTTATATTTTTTTAGTATTTTTGTTTTTTACGTTTCATTAATAATTTCATCTGTATAATATTATATTGTTTCCAAATTTAAATTATCTATTGATTATAGCTTTTTAACCATTGAGTTAATACAGTATTTTGAACTGTAAATAATATACAAATAAACTATTTCGAGATGAAATATTTGAATGAATTAGAAAATGGTCCGTTTAATAAAATATACCTTATATTTCTATGTATTCTTAAATGCTAAGAATATGATTTTCTATTTTATTTTATTTAATAATCAAAAAACAATTAGTATAAGTATAAAATAGGACTATGTTTAAAAAAATAAAAAATATTGGCTTAAGGACATAAAAGTTTGACATTTTAAAATTATCTAATAAGTTTAATAGCTATCAATTTAATATAAAATTTTAATATTTTTTACTTTAAACATTTTTTTTTATATTGTATTTTAATAATATACTAATCATAAACATATTTCTTATAATAAAATATATAAAATAAAGAATAATGCAAAACCGTAAAAATGAACTTGTTTAATTAAAGATAATTAAATATAATTTTTTGTAGAACGAATTAGATTCAAATATCCATGTGATAGG